TATCAGCACATGAATTTTATGAGATAAACGCTTCAGAGCAGGGGGTCACATAGATTTTATGCAGTCTGTAGCTGTATATAAATTAAGCACAATCTTAAAGTAATGATAATGCTAATATAGAGAAAAGGTCGTGAAAATACCATGGGTCTTACCCAAGTCAGGTAAAACTACCACAATTTTGGAATTTTGAAAACTGTGCATTGTCATGCTTTCTGATATGCTTGAATGATTACACCCTTGTCCAGTCCATCCATTTTTGGGCTTGAAAATGAACTTGTCAATTGAAATTTACCTTAAAATTTTAACCAGTACCTTGGTTCCAAGTGTAAGAAATGAACAACGTCTCCTTTTGTTACCACAAACAATTAAAAGTATTTTAAGAAAAGATATCTTTTCAGGCCAGTGCGGTGGCTCACGCCTGTAATCCTAACTCTCTGGGAGGCCAAGGTGGGCGGATTGTTTGAGCTCAGGAGTTTGAAACCAGCCTGAGCAAGAGCAAGACCCCGTCTCTACTAAAAATAGAAAAAAATTAATTGGACAACTAAAAATATATAGAAAAAATTAGTCGGGCATGGTGGCGCATGCCTGTAGTCCCAGCTACCCGGGAGGCTGAGGCAGGAGGATCGCTTGAGCCCAGGAGTTTGAGGTTGCTGTGAGCTAGGATGACGCCACGGCACTCACTCTAGCCCAGGCAACAGAGCGAGACTCTGTCTCAAAAAAAAAAAAAAAAAGATATCTTTTCAACTGAGACTCTCTAATAGGCAAAATAAATAGTTTTCACCAACAAGTCTTTGGAGGGAAAAAAAAACCCTTCTGTAAATAAAGTGGTGGCTGTGGTGGCAGGGGTGGGGAGTCATTTTGACTACATGTTCAGAAAGGACCTATTACCCCGGACAGGGCAGCTTCAAACCCAGGCCTGGGCTACCTGCTATATCAACAGTACCAGTGAGGACTCACACAGAACCCAACTCCCTCTGCAACAGCCTGGAACCAAAGAAGGTTTCAATTACCCCTCACCCACCCTGCTTTTTGTTTGCTAGTTTGTTTTTTGTTGTTCATGCCCATGCTTGTAAATGTATAAGATAGGAAAACAAATCAAAAGAGGTAAAGCCATCATTAGACTGCCTTCTTAACCCAAGCCAGGCAGAAAGAAAATTAATCGATATTTAGTACTTTGGACATATTGGCTCTAAAAAGGTAAACAACAGCAATAAAACAGGAAAGAATCCTATTCATCTTTATTTTTATATAGCTGTTATTATTATTTGGCTGTGGTTGATCATCATTTTTCTTTAGGGCTTTCCAAACAGAGAGCCCAATCTGAGAACTAAATTTAATTGCTCTGTGCCCCACCAGAGCACAACTATAACCCAGCAGTCAATTCAAGAAAATGAAGATCAACATTTTCTTTATAACCTGTTTTTAAGCTTTTATCTCACATATAGGCTAAGTTAAAATACTCATTTCGGAGGCCAATGCGAATTTTTAAAATAATCACTTTAAAGGGATATATAACTTGTAGAAAATGCTAATATTTTTTTTCTCTTTTTGATACACAATTTACTCAAAAAACTCTGCTTGGGATTTACGGCTGTTTATTTTCATGACATTTATCACTCATACTTCCCACTGCTATCAGTGAGCGAGGCATACGTGAAACAGCTGAAGCTTAGAATATACTCCTATACCGTACACAGACTTGACATTTACATAAGTCTAATCAATAGGCTAAATTATTATCACAAAACTGATAGGAAAATTTTATTTTCAGGCAATCATTTTTCAGGGCTACCTGCTGTTAACTTGCTAAACTGGGATTCACTATGAAATTTACAGCTGATGTCTCGTCCATTTAAGTAAGCAGTATCTTTTCATTTTCAAAAGTAAGCTCTGGCTTGGGCTTGCTGCCTCCTTCCAGGTAACGTGAGGACACGGGCTTGCTTCCACCTGCGGGTGTATCATCACCCAGGCGCGCGCCCCACGTCCTCCCTCCACCCATCCCTGGGCCGAATGGCACCTCTTGAGAACAGAACCCCAACACAAAAACTTTCCGGTCGCAAACTCTACTCCTCTTGCCTGGGTCAAAAGCGACCAGGCACTGGGAACGGCACTGGCTTTTGTTCCAGAGTCGCCCAGCTGGCGAGGTAAGCGCCTCGGGAGTCCTCCATCCCCAAAGGTCGCGAGAGATGCCGTGGGACGGGAATTTTGGAGCCTCACGAAAGCAGCCTACTTCTATGCAATCCATGCGCGTGGGGTGTACAAACGCCCAAAACGAGGGCGTGGGGTGGGCAAGGATGTAATGCTAAGTGTCTTTCAAATTCTGCTTCAGTCTCAGGTTCACAAAGTGAGTCTCCTCCGTGGAAGGGCGCGCGGGGAGCGGGGGATGGGAATCCGCGCGGGCTGGGAGATAAATGGGAACAAGGAGGGTAGAGGAGTTACAGTCAAGATGCAGGTCCGGCCCCGCCTCCGGGTACAATCAGAAAAGCTACAGTGTGACAGTGGTTTTCGGCTTCCTGTTTGTAAAGCGAGAACCTCCCCCCGCCCCCCGACTCTGGGACTGTCGTTCTTCCTCAAAACGCAGACGGCCCCCTCTTTGCGCTCCGGGCAGGCTCGGAGCGCAGGGAGCGGGGGCGCGGCGGGGCGGGGCCGGCGCGAGGGAGGGGGCAGGACCGCGGGGCGCAGCGCCCCTCCCAGCCGGGCGGCCCGGGGGCTGAGCAGGGCCGCGAGGCGGACAAAGCGCCTCCCGCTCCCTCCCCCACGGCCGCGTTCCAAGAGGGAGGGGAAAGGCGGGCAAGAGGGGATGGAGGAGGAGGGGATGGAGGAGGAGGGGGCGGGGGAGGAGGGAAGGTGCTTGCCGGCGGGACCGGGGAGGATCGCGCCGAGCTGGGAGGGGAAGGAGGAGGGGCTGGGCGCCCTCGGAGAACTGGGAGGAGGGAAGGATTCTTGAAGCCCAAGATAAACAAATTGTTCCTCTTCACGTGTGGGGTGGGGGGAGGTGGGGAGCGAGCGCAACGGCCTCTCCTCCCCTCCCCCAAGCCGGCTCTTTGTCACGGAGCGCCGGCCCCAGCGCCCGGCGAAAGCCCGCGGCGGCACTGACACCACCCCCGGCGCCGACGACTCCCAGCCCGGGGACGTGTGCGATTTATGAACCGCGCATCGAGAGGGCCGCCCGCGCGGGGCTCTGCGCCGCCGACTCAGGCGCGGTCGGCACGGGAAGCCGGCGAAGGCGCGCGGCCACGCCGCGCTCCAGGATCCCCAGCGCCCAGCCCACCCGGCACTCGGGCGGCGCGGTGGGGGAGGGGTGCGAACACCTTTCCCGAGCTTCCGGCCTCCCCCACCCAGAAAGGAAAGCAAAAGAACCAGACGGAGTAGATAAGAGAAAGGATTTTAGGGGGTGGGAACTGCCCCTTCCTCCCGGCAAAGTTAAGCCATTGGCTGCTCATCCTATCTCGGACCCACCCACCCAGCCATTTAAGCCTCTTTCACCTCCGTGCTACCTTCCACTCCTCCAGCCTGATTAGGCCCGCGAAGTTGGCGGGCACTGGGGCAGGGGGCGAGGCGGAGAAGGCTCGGTGCGAGCAAGTTTAAAAGAAGAAAGAAAAGAATCCCAAGCGAACTTGTATAGCGGGGACTCTCGGCGCAAACCCTGGGCGTCACTTTCCCCACCCGTCCCCTCCAGGCCGCTCCCCCCAGACCCTCCCCGCCGCTCCACCTGCCGGGCTAGCCCCGGGTCTCGAGCGGCAAGCGGAGCGCACCCGGGCCCGCATCCGTGCGCGCTCCCGAGAGCACCCCCGCGCGCAGCCACCCTCGCTCGTTTCTCACCCACTTCAAAGTTCATTCACAAAACTCTTAGACTTTCTCAGCCCAAAGGGGGTGAGGTGGGGAGAGGAGGCGAGAGGTTCTCCTTCCACTCCCCTTCCCCCAAGGAGTTGAGGGCCTGGTGCCCGCCCAGAATCTGCGACAGCATCAATTTCTCCCGGCACCCGGCGGATGTGCGGAGCGGGGTGGGCGAAGGGGGACGGGTCTGGGGAGGCGAGGCAGCTGGGCGAGAGGTGGGGTGGGGAGCTGTGAAGAGGAGGAGCAAGGTTCCAACTCAGGGGTTCACTCTTTCAAATCGGTATCTAAGAAAGGGAGGGGGGAAACTTTTCCAGCACCTCACTCCGACGCTCCTTGAGGCTCCCTCCGCCCCTCGAAGTCGTGACTGGCTTCTCCCCCTCTCGCCCCCTCCTCCCCAAATCTGACAACCCTGACAGATTAACAGGTAGCGGCGACTGCGGCTTTTTCCCTAAGAAAAGTTGACGTTAACCCTTCGGCTTCGGCCCACCTCACTCACCGTGCAAATCAGACCCTCACAACCCCATGTAAGAAGCTCCACGCCCCCCCCCACGCGCGGCCAAGCCCGCTGCCAGTGCGCCCTCACCATGATCAGCGTGTGGTTCCTCTGCTCCGCCGAGGCAGCCTCCGCATCTTGCTGGGGTTTGCTCGGGTGCTGCTGCTTGCCGGTGCCGGCGCCCGATTTCTTGGCCCTCTGCTCCAGGGTCCGCTGATAAAGGCTCACGGTGTCCCGGCGCTCCAGCTCCAGCTGCTCCACCTGAGCCTGCTGGTACCTGTTCTCGCAGTTGACGTGGTGCCGCCGGCAGCCCTCGATGCGCTGGCGGAGCCGCTCGACCACGGTGCTGTGCTTGGGGACGGTCGCCGATCCGCCACCTGGGCCCCCGGAGCCGCTGCCGCCGCCGCAGCCACCGGCAGCGGGGTGATTGCTACTCGGAGCAGCGGGAGTACTATTGGGAGTATTATTCACACCGATCCCGGCCCCGCCGAGGCTGCTGTTCAGGCTACTGTTGATGCAAATACTACTGCCATTTGCGGCAGCAGCGGGGGCTGCGAAATCCCCCATCCTGCTCCCCGGGCACACTATTTTGGAAGAACTTTTTTTATCCACCCCCCCTATCAGCCTCCTCCTTGGGTCCAAGGATTAAAATAGTTTAAGTGGAACGCGGGGGAGACGCAAGCACATGGATGGAAACGGCGATCCCGACGGGGCGAAAAAAAGGGGGAGATTTGGGGGTGGTTTTTTTTGTTTCCTTTTTTTAAACTGTAAAAGCTCGAGGGGAAAAAAAGGGGGGGGTTATCGGAATACCATCAGACACCTATCAACAAAAAGAATCACAACAAACTCAGCCAGCAGCAAATCGGGTTGCAACTCAAGGGGAGATCCGCTCCTCGCCTGCCTTCTTTTTATAATCCATTATTTTCTAATAAATTCCAGGAGATCTCCGGTGGTTGGCAAGCATTTTCTCCCTACGTACCGAAAAACACACCCCATGTACACACACAAGCATATGCCTCCAGTGCGGACACGCGCGACACACACTCACTCCACACCGAATCGGAAAACGGCAAGCTTGCTTATTGCATTTTCCTTCCACAAAAAAGTTTTGGTGTTTATGCCGCCCCGTGTTCTCAAAGTACTTTGGCTGCTCAGTTGCATTTCACAGGAGCCTAGATATCGAATCCTCGGGCTGGGGGAAGTAAACACATGGACAGTCCGAGGCGACTGCAAAAGTAGATCGGTGAAGTCCTTTGCAAAACGCCGCGCGGAGAGCAGCCCCTAACGCTCGGCTGGGCTGCCGCTGCCGCCGCTGTTCCTGCCACCATCACAATGATCAACTGCTCGCCGCCGCCGCCGCCGCCGCCGCCGCCGCCGCCTCCTCCTCCTCTCGCTCCTCCACCTCCTCCTCCTCCTCCATGCCAGCGGAGTGATATCAGGACGAGCGAGCTCAGTAAACACGGCAGCGGCGGCGGCTGGAGGCCGTGAGACAGGCCCGGGGACACGGCGCAAAACCCGGCCCGGACTCTCACCCGGCAGGAGCGGGCGCGGCACGCACCAGCACCCGGCTCCAGCCTCCGCTGCCTCGCCACCCCCCGCCCCTCCCACACCCCCAACCTCACTACTACCCAGACTGAGAACCCCTAGCTGCCAGGAACGATGAAAAGAGAGATTCTGAGGGATCTCAGGAATGAATCAACTTTTGACCTGTGTGCGCGCGCGCGCGCGTGAGCGTGTGTGTGTGTGTGTGTGTGTGTGTGTGTGTGTGTGCGCACGCGAGCGCATGTGCGCGAGGACGCCCGCGGGGACGCGCCTGGTTGGATTTCCTTATTCCAAGGGAGGTATCAAGCGAGCCCGAGTTGTTGTTATACATTTATGCATTATATTGCAGAACTGTGCATGACCAGGCAGAAACATTGAAGCTTCACAGCAGTTGTCTGTCATCCCTATCCATGTGGAAAGAAAAAGGCAAATTGAGTGACTTGTTTTTAAAAGCCAGGTAATAAGTCCTTGCTAGTAATAGCTCTGCTTATGGACACTTGTTCAAACTCTAGGCCAGTCTTAACACAGAAATACAGAATTCTAAATAAATAGAAATGAGCATCAAAAAACTTGTAATATTATTTAATTCACTGTACATAATGATTGTTGTTGTTAAGGCAATTATTGTTTTACTTACCCTTGGAAAAAAATTAAAATACAGCAAGCAAGGACTTGGAGGTGAGACTAACAGTACATTTTAACAGACTGTTTTGAACAGTAGGTGCTAATGACAGCAGTAATTAAGGGTCCTTCGTAAATCAAGTGGAAAGATTGCAGATTTCATGGACTAGAACTATAGGAAAAACACAGCATTTCACAGTCTGTCATGACCAAAACAAAAACACGCAAAAATAACAGGCCTACTTTATTGTTGGATATATTTCTTTCTATTTCAATGGATTCACAGTAAGCACAACTAAAATGGACACTAGCAACTGCAGAAAACAATCTAAACCTTCCATTTTATCATGGTAAATCATCTTTCAAGATACTGAGAATCTAAAAACAACAACTAAGGATCAAATATTCTTGAATCTGGATTTAAAACATTGCATATACACAATTTTGAAAAATCTAAAATGGATAAATTGTTATCATTTCTGTGATCAGTAGGCCACAAATCTTGATTGTGAGATGTTAATTATAAGGCATTTTGTATTATCTCAATAAATCTCATAGAATTAGTTTTTAGAGTAAAAATACACCCCAGTTTTCTAAAATAGCCAGGAATAAAAGAACTTTGGATCTTATGCATTAATCATGAGATCTGATTTAAACCATCTTCATTTCTTGGCATTGCAGATTAGCATAGGATGCTATTTCTAACCTCATAATGTCAGTGATAAGAAGCTATGTTTTCTTCAATTAATCAGGTCTATAGGGTGAACTGTATTTTTAATATCCACTCGATTATATGGTGAAATGGGAGCAAAATTTTATTTAACATGGTGTGAGGCTACCTTTAAGTAGTAAAACCAACATGAAAGAGTATCTTTTGTTGAAGTTGCCATACTTTTTGAGGGATACTTAGTTAATATATAAACTTCTGTATCAAAACTTCCCAGGCCCTAAGTCTCAGTCAGAAAATTAAATTGAATTAGTTCTATAGTAAATGAGTCTGTTCAAACTCTAAAAACATACAAAAAAATTATAAGAAAAAGAGGTAGCAAAGTGGTCTTTGACTTTTTCACATATTCACTAAATAATATCTCTATGAACTCAGGAAACACATGGCTTCACCACAGAGGGGAAGCTATGACTTTGCATTCATTTTGCTCTCTCTTCACTATAGTTTAATTCTTATCCCTCTCCTACCCTACTTGCCTAAATCGCCCATACAAGGCTGCAATTTGATTCACAGAGGCAACAAATGTTAGGGTCTTGAACTTTAGGTCTGCAGCTTTGAGACTTGGGTTCTCATTCTGGCTTTTTCCTGTGACTCAGAATTTAATTTTTCACTGAGAGTTTCTCACTCTGGAGGGGAAAATGACAATAACAGCACTATGTATTCCCATCAAGCTATTTACCTCCCCTATCATGAAGAGAAACCAAAAATACACAAGAATTTGCATCCTTCTCTTGGGGGAACCAGCAGGTGGGTGAGCACACTTTGTGGCTTTACCTCAGAGGTCCCCAATAACAAATGGAGCTATTCTTGCACAACCCCAGTATACTTTGCTGCCTGATTTTAGTGCATGAGTGGGCTATACCCAAAAGAAAAATCAACTGTTACATATGTACACACACACAGGCACCCATCTTTTCTCTCTTCAAGATGGCGGGAGTGGCAGCCACAAGCTCCAAGACCAAGAAATGGGGAAAGGAAGTACTGTGAAGCTATGTAATGGCAAGAAGGGAAGAGACTTTGAGAAGCCAACCTGTGCAGTACTCTACTGTGACATACTGTGAGGTCAGAAACTCCATCCTAACTGCGCAGGGCAATTAGAAGAAAAAAGCAGGAAGTAAGCAAGACTTGGGTCTTGAGCAACATAGGCCAGTAACCCTGAATTAGAGATGTTAATCAGCCTCAGTGACTCTAGAAGAAACAGAGACCTTCATACTGGCTCCCTCTGACTCTCATGATATATTCCTGCAAGATTATCAGCTTTCTTGGTTACCGTCCTAAAGAACTTCTTGAAGATCATAGAGAAATTCGAATTCTAGGGAAGCAATTTTGGTTCTTTCTCACTGCCAGGCACTGATAGCATGACCATCTTTGTCTTTTCTGTGAGACTGCTACAAAGCAAAACTTTAGGATGGGAGATACAGACACATCGGCGATGCTGTTGCTCTTGAATGGCAAAAAATCTGAGATGCCATAGCAGTGATGAGAAAGAAATTACTATGGCTACTTCCCCAACTATAATGGTATCTTTCCAGATGCCAAAGAGAGAAGGACTTGATGAATAAGTACCCGCACCAGGCTGTCCTGCTGCCCTGGCTCGAAGCCAAAGTTGGCAGTTCTGAGGTGTTGAACCAGGTTCCCTTTCCTTTAGGCCAACTCTCTGTCATCGTCCCATGTCCATCTGATAGGGTCTAGAGTCCCAGTGACAAGAAAGAGATCTTTGGGTAGAAATTCCAGTCCATGTGCCACTTCTGCTTCCCTATTACTATGGATCCGTAGAACTAACTGCCTTCATAATTGTACCCTAGAATAGAAACCCTCTGCTGCTCACATATGAGTAAGCAAACCTTCATATATCCTTCCCGAGTGGGGCCCAGGCATTCCTGAATTACTAGCAGCCATGGGATGTGCCCCCAGCTGTCTAGCAATAGCAATCATTTCAGTAATTCCACAAATATATTTATGGCCTTCTGTGTGCCAGCACCATGGTAGTCGCCGGGTAAACAGCCTGACGGTGTGTAGAACATGGTTCCAACTTCAATGGCGGCCCACTAGGATCAAGGCGGTAGATGCTGTGATGGGACCAACGTGGAGTGGATGTGGGAACAAGTGAAGGAGTACGTGCCTAGGGGTCTAAGAATCCTTTTCCAGAAACTCCACCAGTAGTTCCCTCTTGCGGGATAGTGAGTATGAAAGGGTGTGATGAGAAATGAGGCAAGGCCGGGAGATAAGCAGGAGCCAGATTGTTCAGGGCCATGCACAAGTTTACACTATAGCCTTGGGACAATGGCTGCCATTAAAAGGATTTAAGCCGATTTACACTTTTTACTCTGTCCATGCAGCCGATGTATTAATATTGTGTTTTTGAAAGTGTATTCTGAAAAACCTGGCTCTGTAAGATGCAGCACCAGAAAGGCTACTGAGCCAAGTAAGTTTAGGAGATGATCTGTCCTGCGTCGCTCTCCAAGAGTTATTACCACACCGAAGGGCACAAGAAATCTTGCGGTGAAGTGAGTTTAACTTTGTTTAACCTAGCACTGCCAAAATCCTGTTACGTCCCACAGAGTAGAGCACACTGTAGAAAACTCTGTGTAGGAGAGAGTAAAAATTGAAGGTGGTTCTAAATCCACTTAAATTCACAACAATTGCCTGCGTCAAAGACCACACTGCCCTTACCATC